ATATATATATATATATATATATATATATATTAAAAAAGTGAACTAGCAAGATATTGAAGTTGCCATTTGAGTTGAGCATCATCAAAACTGCATTTGCATCTAAAACTGTCTTGATTATTTCTCTTTAATTCAGGAATAAAACCAGTAACTGTTTCAAACATGTTTTTGTGGGTAAAAGTGGGACTTGTTACTTTTTGATCATATGATAAACCTGTTAATTTTGTCTGTCTGTAGAATTAATTTCATAACGAGTAAATTTAAATAGGAAGGCCTCATCATTTTGGGAATAAATTATTTTTTCCCTTTTCTTTCTCCAGGCCCTACGTCCGCTCCAAGGGCAGGAAGTTTGAGAAAGCCCGTGGTCGCAGGTCCAGCCGTGGTTACAAGAACTAGTCTGAAAAGTTTTTCCTGCGTTCTGACGAATAAAGGATTAATTGTACAAAAAACACTCTTGTCTCGTGTTGTCTCTCCTGTTTTCATGGAAAAAGCTGCTTTTTTTTTATCAACAGGACACTTTGCGTCTCTGCTGAGACCGTTCTTTGGTTGTAATGTAAATAAATACATGCTTTGATAAGCCTTCAGCTGATCGGAGGGCTTATCTCGGACCGGAAGTGGTGGTCTGTCGATGATTGGAGAATGTCGGTGGGAGTTTCGTGTTTTTCTTGTCATCAGTGGGTTTCCTCTCAAAGCTGCTGCTTCGTCTCCAGGCGCTTCCTGCTCCAACCCACAGCTTTCAGTCCGAGACCAGCTCGTCCTGGAGAGACAGGCAGGATGAGGTAAAATATATATTTTTTTGTTTCGAAACAGCTTGGCTTTATGTGTTCGCGTTAAAAAGTGACCGACCGTCGTGCTACTCGGAGCGGTCAGTCGTGGTCATAACTCCCGGCCGGTAGCTAACATGCTAGTTAAATTCCTGTAGTCACAATATGAAACAACCGAAATACCAAGTGTGGTTTGAGACGTGACGAGTATCGTTTAACAATCTTGAAGGTGTTAAATGTGAATGCGAGGTAATTTTGATGGAATTTAGAGAATAGCTGAAGTAGCGAACTGTTAGCCCATGCTAACATACTGTTGCGCCTGACTGCTGCCGAAGTTCGCTTATGATTCGTAGCTCCCAGCGTATGCAGATGAGTAAAGGGCAATTTCACTCAAATTTACATTTGTTCTGCATCAATTAGGAAATTTAAGTGAATTGGAGTTTTCCAGTTAATACACAAAAACAGATGTCACTGACTCTGCACAAATCGTACAATTGTTAAAATCCCAAACCACAGTTTTAATTATATTAAAGATTTGTTCTGTGAAACTTACCCATTAAACTAATAAAGGTCTAAACCAAAGGTCTGCAACCTTCGGCTCGAGTCCCTCTGCAGCGGCTCATTCAAGCTTCAATAAAATTCAGTTTTATGTCTGTTTTGGTTGGTTATACAAACGTCAAAGGATTAGACGAAACGTTTCTCCCAAAAAGAAACGTCCAGATGACATGATTTAACCTTTTTTGTATTGGTTCAGTTTTCCTTCTGCAAATATGTGAACACTGCAGTGAGTACAAGGAGTCGGTGCTTTATGTCTTTATACATACGAAGAACTGTCTGCACAGTTTATAGATTTTTTTTATTATTATTGAAAAAGGGTAAAAACTGATCCCCACCCCCCTCTTTACAAGAATCTGGTCATTTTCTTTAATAAATGTTACAAATCATTAGATATTTTTTGTTTTGTGTCACCCTCACTGGCCACAAAATCCCCCTGCAGTAAGTGGCTCATGGGCCACCAGTTGATAACCACAGTTGTAGCACGATATTGTGGCTCCAGGCGCTTTTAATGGAGTGAATGAAGGCAAAAAAAGCCCCTTTTGATCGTAAAGGTTGCAGACTCCTGGTCTAAACTTTGCACTACACTGACTTGAATTGAATTTAAACTATTTATCTGCATCATTTAGTAAACAGTATACGGTATATCAGGTCTCTTGTAAATGAGTCCTCGAGGTTTAGTGGGATTAACCTGTTTAAATAAAGGTTGAATGAATGAAAAATGCATAGATCATTCCAACAAAGTTAAGTCAGGTCCTCTGGACGGTACCTGACTTAACGTTGTTGGATTTTTCTATGTGGATTATTGAGCATGAACTTTGGTATAGATCATTGGTTCTTAAGCATTTCAACATATAAAATAAATAGTCATGATAGTGAGTTGTGGTCCAAAACATTTGACGTACTGTAGTCAACAGCTAATGAGATTCTATCCACAAATATTAATGCACTTATTACTTGGACCCATTAAAGTACAACTATCTTATTAGATCATGTCAAGACTAAGTTGATGCTTCATGGCCCAACCTCCAACTTTAGGAACCACTGGTTTAGATACAAAAAGAACAACTGAATCAGCCCTTTCTTTTTTTTTATTTTTTTTATTTTTTTTTTTTTTAACTAAAATCAATGTTCAGATTACAAACTATGTTTTAATGAGCCTGTACAAAGCGAAGGATAATCCAGCCCAGGTCGTGTTTTAAAACTGGATTTGATTTAAATTGGCCTACAGGCCAAAAAAAACACCGAAATATCCCTTTACCCAAATCTACAAGCCAGAAGCGAACTTCAGCGTCGTTCAGCTCTTGCTAGCTGATCTCAAACTCAGGCTATACTCGCTAAATACCGCTGTCTTGTTCATTCCTCCATCTACATCTTTAAACTCTTATCGACTCGTATTAAAGAAAGACTACAACAACTGTTAAAACCGGTTTATCTGCTTACTTTAATGATTTAAGCACACAGTCGAAGTTAGCTGCTAACAGCCTGGACATCATCGGTCAAAGTTGCAACGATTAAACCTCCTCGGTTAAACATGACCAGACAAGCTGTGAGCCGTCTCTTAAGGCTCTTGTGTTCACGAAATGACCCAGTCCTGACCTGACCAGCAGCCTCATTGTGTGGCTGACAAATTTAGCCTGTTTGTGTTTTTATTTCTGGGTGTCCCCGCCCTGGACTTCAAGGACGAAAAGATGCAACAATGGGGCACCAGAGGTGCAGAACATGGGCCAGGTATCGATCTTGAAGCTTGCACAATGTCTCCTGACTGCACAGACGTGAGCAGGTTGTTCATTTCTGCTTTACCAAAGTCCCACAGCCGGCAGTCATGTGGTTTTATTCAAATCTCTAAAGATCTGAACTCTGAACCTGCAGCTCTGGCATTACTTAGTTGATTTTTATCTTTTTATTTTATGTGTTATCAGTGTACAGCACTACAACAGTGTTGCTTTTTAAATGAAGTTGTATTACAGACGCAATAGTTTGATAAATGCCAGAAATCCTGCAGCCAAGTCCTATAACTACTACAGTTTTCTACTTTTAGTCGAGCAAAAACCCCATTACTGTTTAGGTCAGTAGATTTAGAGACACTTTGTCCACAAATCACGTCAGACGAAAGCCTTAAATATGAAAATGCCAACAAGCTGCGGTCGTTCTCGTGCAATCTTTCGACTCGAATAATGTGGTGTCTCAGCAAGGCGGCTGAGGATGTGTGACTGTGAGTCAGTACGACACATAGGTCAACGGGCGAGACGGATCTGGTATTGCTTCACCTCTTTATCATAATCTCTGCTTATCGGAGGCTCTCTGATGGTTAAAGACATGATGCAAAAATATTCTCCCTTGCACTGGTGAGTTTGATTCAACTTCTCGCTGATTTGTCTTTTCCCCACACAGGAACAGAGATGTCTGGGAAGGAACGTGAGGCTTAACTCAAGGACATTAGGATGACATAAACTAAGGACACACCTGGAGCTGTCTGCTTGTTGTTTGTTTTCTTTTCTTTGTTGTTGTTTTTTTTTATGTCACAGTTCTCTGATGAAACTTTAATTTATCACACTACTGTCCGTTAGACTTGTCTCGTCACTCCTCGTGTTTGCGTCTGTATTTATCGCTGAGGTTTAAGATAGCAAAAGGCGTCTCGAGGTCTTAAAAAGCGTCCACCTGTTCTGTCTTTGTGGCTTTCGTTCCACTTCAAGCTGCAAATCGCGTCCTAGAAATCTGCTGCACTCGCCAAGTTCACGCTTCTCGTCTTATTGATATTTCATTAATATATTTGATTTTGACTAAGCGATTTATTTCTGTCCGTTTTGTGTAATAATTTAAAGTTTGTTAATTAGCTGCTCTGCTGCCTTGAATTGTATTACAAAAGGCAGCTTTAAGGTGAACATTTATTTTTATACTTATGCAATTTTTGTGAAGAACGTTTCTGTTTAAATGAGTTTAGTTTTGGTTTTTTTGACTAGTTGCGTTGGATGTTCGTGCTTTAAACCAGTAGGAAACTAGAAGCTGACAGCTGTTAATTTCAAACTGCGATGGGAGATTTCCCATCTTCACTGAATCTATGAAGTGACTTTTAAACTGGAAGTTTTGTTTGTTTCACGTCAAACGAAGATCTGATCTTAAACAGACACACTGGAACAAAAGCTTTTTTCTTTTTTTTTTTAACCCGAAGAATGATTTTTAAGTTTTCAGATTTTTGATTTTGCCTGGAAACCTTGAAGATCTGCCAAATTCCACTCTCTTGGATTACTGTTAGACAGATAAACTTTGCCCACTTGAACAGCGGGGATGCGGTCCCCAGACCTGTCCCCGCTGTCTCCGGAGGAGGCCCTCCTTCATGGCCAGTTTGCCAGCTGGGGATCAGGCAGCAGCAAAAGCAGCAACAACAACAGCCGCCCAAACAGCCCCGGTGCTCCCGGAGGACTCTCCCCCGCCGCCTCCTCGCCTCCAGCTCCAGCGTCCAACTATGCCTTGACCCTCACGCACACCCACATCCACATTCAGCGCCTGTCGCCGCGGCCGGGAAGCGACGCTCGTCTCCTGCTGCCTTTATCTGAACTGGTGGGGTGCAGCTGTCCCCGGTCCCCGGCGCCGCCCCTGTTAGTGCTGTACTGGTACCCGCCGGGAAAACGACGGAAGGGGGTGTCGAGACGCAGGCAGATCCGGGCCTACCTGGCAGAGAGCAGGCCCGAAGCTGAGAGGTGGTCGGTTGCTGTGCAGTGTTTACTCAGAGACGTGGAGGTCACCGCGAGCACAGGTGAGCGCCTCCTTCACCTGAAGTCTGTTCGCTGTCTAAGTGTTGACTCACTGTGAGGCAGAATCCACATGTTTCAGGTCCCGTAAAGGAAAACTTTAGAGATTGTAAATTTGAGAACACCCCCAGCAACTAACACAAAGTTTAAAGTTCAGCTTAATACTCATAAAACTTGTTTTGACTTATGCATACTCTACCATAAAACCTTTTTAGCTAATGCTACATTAAGACAACAACTTTCTGTATTGGGTATTCTGAAATAGTGTATATTAACATAAATTTCAGTCTTTTAATTAGATGTACAAATACTTCTTTCTCTAGCCTTGGGAACAGGGATTTAAAACAGAACACTGTTATGTGTGTTCTGGTGTTTTCCTCTGTTAGTGGGAGAAAATTAAATATAAAAGCAAATTAAGAAAAACTAATTCTTTCCTTTGTTTTTTAGTATTAAACAGTGAAACTTACGACCAACGTGTTCTTTTGGCATCCAAAACCTCATCAAATGTTTTGCCACACTTTCAGTCCCGAAGTCAGAAATAAACTGTCAGATACTTTGTGTCGCTTGTTGGTTTTGAGCAAAGTTGTTTTTTTTTTTTTAAGGAGCTGCTAAAACTCAAACTATAAAACATTTAATTTGTTTCTGTTAAAAGCCCCTGGACTTTATAAAGTGTTATGAGAGTGGCCTTTAAGAAAAAAAGTTTGTAGTTCAAAGTTTTTGTATACATGGCTTGCCCCTCCGTTGTAGATCGTTGCTAATTTTAGCTTAATGTCACAGTGATCCCACTTTCCTGTGTTGCAGGAACATATTTTGGTATAAAGGGCACAGAGAGGAGCACTGTGCTGCAAAAACACTGGACGGTGCATGTTTTGTGCAGTCATTTGTTTTGTAAAACCACAACTTCCTGTTTTATGGTTTTACTTTTTTATGCGTCCTGCACACACAGTATGATCTGTTCAGTGTTACATGTGTGAACAGACAGGGAGGGGGTCGAAGCAGCTTTCCACTCCCTCCTTTTTGACTATTTAATAATAATTCCTTTTCATATTACTATTTTATTGGCTGGATTTCTCTTTTTTTACACTTTTATTTACAGGGGTTCTCAAACTTTTTGTGTTCAGGGACCCCCCACAGGGGAGAAACAGTTTCAGGGACCCCCTCATAACCGTCATGTTTATTAAATCTTTTTTTTTCATTTGTCTCTTTAATGCAATGGAGATATTTGTGTAACATAAATACTTATGACCTGTTCTTTAATAATGTTAATACAATTTTTATACTTTTAACATGAGGTATTTTTCATTCAAGACACAATTAATTAACATTTTTTATTTCAGCTTCCAGTAGTTTTGAGAAAATTAACAGCATCAAAAACCACTTTAAAACTTTACATATTCACATAATAAACATAAATGTATTGGCACTTCTTCAAAAAGTTACAGAAAACTCTTTACATAAAACTGAACAGAATCCTAACAGCAGTAGTCAGACCAAGTAACAGGGCTTCATTTATAGACTGATCGATGCAGGAACGCAAATAGCAGGTGGGGGTCCTCCCCCAGAAAATTTTGAATAAAGTAGATGTGATTTCCTGCATTTTGGTGTATTTAAACAGATTGTTAAACATCTACGTGCTTGTAAAACAATAAGAAAAATCTTTCTTTTTTTTTGCGGACCCCAGTTTGAGAACCAATTTATAAATCTAATCATTTCCGTCTCTTGTTTCTTCATCTTTTTAACTTGAATTTAAACCCAAATCTTTTTGCACCCTAAATTTTGACCTTACTCTCTTCTCCCACAGCTTTAAAATAATTTATTGTTCCTACCTTGTCTTCTACCCGTCCCTGCAGCTGCTTCTGTAATAATTTGTGAAACATTAATGACATTTAACACTTCAAATGATTCATAGGGTGGATTCAATGAATTTGAATGGAAATAAAGTTCTTGTAGTTTGCAGCTTGATGATCAGGTCGAATCACCTGAGCTGCAACTCGTTGGCAAAACAGGATTTGTCTCCAGAATGTCTTGTAATGGTTCTCAGCTTCTTATCTTGGGTCGCAGAAGCTTGCTGTCTTGCTTGAATTTTGAACACGTCTAAAAATGTGCGCCACGGGCATCTTGAACCCTTCTCAATTTTGTCATGAGCATCTCCAACCCGTCTCAGGAAGAGCTGCCTCTTAACACCTGCATGTGTGCTCTCCTCATGTCCAGCTCTAAAAACCATGCAGCTGAATATTAATAATTATTGTTTTAAAAATAGTTCAGTTAAGCCTGTTTCATTTCAAAAGTGTACTCCTATTAGATTAAATCGTAAATGAGGGAAATGAATACTGTGTGTGGACGGAGGTTGGCAACAAAGCCTAGACCTAGACTGACCTAGAATACAGTTTAGCATGCTGGGCACTCAAAAATAAGCAGTGACTTTTAAAAATCGATTGTGCAAAGTGCAGCTTTATGGCTCGCTGGTCTCTAGGCAGCAAACACTCAGAATTCAATAAGACTGCAAATGAAAATCTGTATTTATTCATTTGGCAACAGCGAGTTAAGTTTGAGTTGCCAACTAATTTTTGTCAGTCCCATCCCAGTAAGGTACAACCTTTAGTTGTATCCTGTTGGTGTTTGCACCAAGGTTAAAAGTGCAGTCGTTTCTTCTCATCCTTGACATCTATTCTCACCGTTAAAAACATTTGTGTGTTATCCTTCACATATTTAGTCGTGGATTGTCGAAAAAATGTATTTATTGTCAGTTAAACTAGAATTGAAAATACTAACACGAAAAGAAAAACCTAAAAATAATGGAAGGTGTTGTGCGTTATGGATGAAAACCAAGTATGAGTGCAGGGAAGGAGAGGAATTTGTTGCACTTTTAACTCTTTCAGCAAAATTCAGCAGGAAACTAACTAAACCCCAGAGCTTAAAGACCAGAAACAAAACTGTGATTTCTTAAAAATATATTTAAAAAAAAAACTGGTGCTGACCTCCAAGGCGGCCCTTACCCAGGTGTCTTCTATCAACAATTTGACAAGTGAGCACAATCCAGACATTTAAGGTCAAACATTGAAGGACTTCTGAACGTGACATGATAACTTTAAACAAAGCTGCCTGGTGAGGGTGTCCTTTGTCACTATCCAAACTGAAATGATGAAAGACGTGTCAAAACGATGCAGCTGTGCAGACTAAAGTATTCAAGGTGAAATAAAACAAGCTCAGTTAGTTAAATGAACTCAAAGGTCAGGGTTGGGCTACACTTATAAAAGCCAAACAACAAGAGGTTACTTTAGCTTGTGTCTCAGTTGGCTGGCTCTGAAAATGTTGGACTTTTAATAGCTGTTAAGCACTAATTAAAGTTGTGCCTTCTTTGTCATTCAGAGTTTTCAAGATGTCTACTACCTCGTCCCAGGCGTCTACTGTTACTGGTCAACCCGTTCAGTGGAAGGGGCCAGGCAATGCAGTGGTGTCAGACCCACATCCTGCCGATGGTTAGAGAGGCTAACATTAGCTACAACCTCATACAGACAGGTGAGACAGTACGGCCACCAACACTGAGCAGATGGTTTATAACAGGCACTAACTTCGTTCATCTGTTTTAGAACGCCAGAACCACGCAAGGGAACTTATCAGAGAGATCTCGCTCTCGGAGTGGGACGGCATCGTCATTGTTTCTGGAGATGGCCTGCTGCATGAGGTGAGACACTCTCATTGCAGAGTTGAGCTCTCTGAAATGTAATTTTCATTTTCAACTTGTAAGATTTCTTATCATTGTGTTTGTGTAGGTAATTAATGGGCTAATGGAGCGCCCCGACTGGGAACAAGCAATAAAAATACCTGTTGGCATTTTGCCCTGCGGCTCTGGGAATGCACTGGCTGGCTCCATTAACCACTACGCAGGGTGAGCAGACAGTTAATCAGATTTTCTAACTGGGACATAAACCACAGGACAACACATAAGTAGAGCATTATCAGCTAAACAGGACTGGTTAATTAAACCATACAGCTGATGTTGATATTTGCAGCACATAGCAAAGTGTGTGGTACAGATGAAGTTGAGAAGGCTGAATTTATTTTACTCTGAGATGGGAGTTCTGTTCTCCTACTGGCCCTCCTAAGGAAATGTGTTCAAACCTCAGGGGGGTTGATAGAAACTTAAGCCATCTTTGTGCTTAAAAAAAATTGCTAATTGTCATAATGTGTTCCTTAATAATTAGATCAAGATTAATTTTAATGGATATAGCTTAATCACAGCGAAGAAAAATTGATCAACTGCTTTAAAATTAGATGAAAATTTCTTGTAATAGCAGACTGTAGTGATTGTTATTTCTGTTTTTTCCATCTCTCAGGTATGACATGTGCCTTCGAGAGCCCCTCCTTTTAAACTGCTGCTTTTTGCTCTGTCGAGGTGATGTCCAACCCATGGACCTGATCTCTGTGACGACGAGCCCTGCTCCCTCCAAAAACAGCCATGCTGCAACGCCCAGGAGACTGTTTTCCTTCCTTTCTGTTGCCTGGGGCTTTGTGTCCGATGTGGACATTGAGAGTGAGAGGTGTGTGTTTCACTGCTTGTACTTTAAAGTTGGTGCACCGTGTGACGTTACTTGGATATGTTGCAACACATGGCTCCACTCTCAATGGTTTCCTGTTTCAGGTATCGTGGCCTAGGCTCAGCTCGCTTCACCCTGGGCACCTTAGTGAGAATTGCTTCACTTCGATCCTACAAGGGCCGCCTCTCCTACCTGCCTCCCTCTGTTGTCACTACGTCATCGAACGGCACGCCTCCTCCTCCAAAGAGACCCCTCTCCCGCAGTATCACAGAAGGTCTGGAGGGTTTCTGCAAAATGCCAATACATCGTACCTGCTCTGACATGGGCATCAGTGAGCAGAGGAGTCTGAGAAAGGGTGATGGGGAGAGAGAAAAGGAGGAGAGACAGAGACAGAGGGAGAGGAGAAGGGAGAGGGCCAGGGGAGGAGGGACCGGTGTAGTGAGGGCCAGCAGTCTGGCAGAGGACACAGAGAGAGAGAAGGAACTGGAGGCAGAGGAGGAGAAGTCGGGGACAAGTTCGGAGAGGTCTGGAACGAGCTCAGAGTCGACCGAAAGGGATGGATGCAATATGGGAAGGGAACGATTGGCAGGGATCAACGATGAAAGGGAAGATGAGGAAACGACAGAACAAGACTCCTGCGAGATGGAGGAGGATGACAGGGGGAAAGATGGTGAAGGCAGTGGTGGTTCTGTAGAGGGAGATGGAGTGTTACATGCGAGGGAGCTGGGAGAGCGTGATGGAGTCGATATGGGGCAAGAGGCGGATGAAGAGCCGGGGGGTCGCGTCGCCTGCCAGGACAGGCTTCAAGAAACCAGAGAGGTAGTAAGAAAGAACTCGGCCCCTTCGAGTCAGATCGCCGACGCTCTGATCAGCCCGCCTCTCAGTCAAAGGGTGGACCCAGAGTCTGGCTGCTCATACGCGCTGGAGGAGATGGATCTGAATGAAACCTACTTCCATAAAGATTCTTACCCTCTGGATGTGGCTCGTGAAAGAGCGCTCACCATCTCCTCTCCGTTTCGTCATTCTCCTTTCAGTTACAAGCAGAAGGCCCTGGACCAAAACCAAAACGCCTCCCGTCCGAGGCCCCTCTCACTCCTCCAGCACTCCAACTCAAACTCCCTCCCCCCTAAACTCCCTTCTCTCTCTTTGTCTCCCACACCGCCCTCTTCCCCTTCCTGTGCATCCCCACGCTCATCCTTCTACCTCGCCCCCCGCCCAAACACCCCGAATTCTAGCTCCCCCTCTCCCTCATTACGCACACCGTCCTCATCTTTTAACTTTGACCTCACAGAACCAGCAGGACTGCTTAAGAGCCGTCCATTCGTCTCGCTGCCTTTTGATGCACCAAGGGATGACTTGCTACCCCCTCTCGACCAACCCATTCCCAACAGAGACTGGGTGACCATCGAAGGAGACTTTGTCTTGGTCTTGGCCCTTTATCAGACCCATCTTGGTGCCGACCTCCACGCCGCACCCCAGGCCAGGTTTGACGACGGCTTAATCCACCTGACCTTTGTGCGGGCGGGCATCTCCAGAGCCACCTTGCTGAGACTGTTCTTTGCCATGGAGCGAGGAACCCACCACTCCGTCAACTCGCCGTACGTCAGCCATGTCACCTGCAAGGCCTTCAGGCTACAGCCGCTGTCTTCAAAGGGAACACTCACTGTGGATGGAGAACTCGTGCCCTACGGGCCTCTTCAAGCACAGGTCAGATAAAACGCCAATCTTTAGTTCTGACTTTACTGGTTGCCATTAGTTGTTACTTGAGGTGATTTGATAGAATAGGATTTTTGCCTCAAATTAATGCCGTAATGTTAGTTAGGCACTGATCTCTGATTATTTTGCAGGTTCATCCGTCCCTGGCCCGTCTTATTGTTGGAGACTCTGGAGTGAAGCTGACCAGACTTTAATCAGAGACTGGTTGAGTTGACTGACATATCTAAACTCTGCTGAATTATTTTGTCTCTTTTGCAAACTATACTTTTAAGCGTGAGCCAGGGGAGTGTCTGAGACACTTCAATTAGCCTGGATTGCAGGAAACTGCTTTTTAAAGGGAACAATGAAACCGAGCCACGCACCATTGGAAAACGACTGCAGGGATTAATAGTAAATCTGAAAATGAATGAAAAATGCGCTTCATTGCACAGCCGTTGGAGCATGCTCTGCTTACCCTGAGAAGCATGAAAAAAATGCACAGCCTTGGATAATAAGAGGGGAAATAATTGAATGTTTGGGTTTTTTGTGCAGATTGTGCATGCATTGGATGTATAGAAGGTAGTATGCATGCAGAGAAGCACTGATCTTTGCCTTACATTGAGACGATAAGACGATTAAATTCCAAGAAAGCTGTTGGTGAAAGTTATCCTCCGTCCCTTATCTGAAGCCTCGCCTCCTCCACTGTTCTAATTAAGGATAAAATCTTCAGTCCTTCAGAGGAATGCCTTATCTGACACTGCTACAGGTACAGCTGTACCTTTGCCCGTTCTTTCTTAATCTCCGTCCAACGATAAGATTACATCAGACACAAAGCGAAGCTGTTCTTGTAATTTTACACTTTATTTTTTAGATCTAAACTTTTATGTTTGAGCACTTGTTCACTGTTCACCAGAGGAGGAAATACTGTATGGAAATCGGTGTAGGGAAGCAAAAACAAACATTTTCAGGACTGAATGTTTATTATTACTGACATATTTGCATTCTGCCTGCTTGTTTATAGCCAGTGGATGCACGCTGCTGCTGATGTCAGTGATACACTGGTTTTTTTTTGCAACATACTGAACATAAAAATGCTCTGAACAATGCAGGCTTCTTTGTCACAGCTTATAGCCGGGGAGAGAGATAATCAAAGTCACTGCCTTAGCCGTCAGCTTTATGTCCAAAAACAAATAAGCCACTTTTATGTAGATAGAAGGATGTGCACAAAAACTGAACTTAAACACAGAAGATCACAAATTACCAACTAATCTCAGAATAACAGATTGGTTTTGTGTCAAACCGTGGATGCACTAGCTAATATGCTAGCTAGTTCTCGCTACATGAATTAATAAATGAATCACGTTGCTTTTATTTATTGTTGCATTTTGAACACTTGTGCTTGTTGAAAGGCAGGACTGACAGTCTACAAACGCAATTAAAAGAAACTATGAGACAACACTAAAATAAAATAGTGCTCTTCTGTCTCATCTGACTGATGATCAATCATTTAATAAGATGGAGTAAAACAAAACAACTTGTGCACTGTGAGAGAGAAACCAGCTGTAAAGCCTTTCTGTTAAACTGGCAGGTTTATTTTACTTTATTGAGATTAATAGCACTTCCAAAAGATGAATGAAATCAAACAGCAGAATTATATACCTTGCTAAAACACTCGGTCTGGACTAAGTCATCAGCATGTGCAATAAATTACAGCGTAAATTTATGTGCCAACTGCTTGGATCATCATCAGCATACTGTATTTTTCAAATCAATGCCTTTGTATAATGAGCCTGTAAATTCTGGCTGTTTATCATGAACTGTTTAAACCCGATTGCAGAAAATGGAGTAGAACTACCGTTTTTTTTTTTCTGCTTTTGCCTTTTTGTTTTATCTTAAAAGCGCACAATGCTAGTTTATCACTATGACACAGCTACAAAATGTGAGTACATTTTGAGTCTGAGCTTTTAATATTACTACCGTAAATAGAAAACCATATATACTCATTTAGAGTGGGATTTTATTTTTTTTCCCAGATGCTTACTCTTGATGTTGAAGAGCCTCATTATGACAGTTTACCTTCCTAGACCAGCGTTGTCAGTGGTCTTAGCTGGGACCATGGTGTTGTAGACCAATTTGCTATGAACAGTGTCGGGGTAGTACTCCTGCCATGATACCTGCCTGTAGTGAACTGCCTGTAATGAAATGATAATTATTACTAAATCATTGAAAATGTGTACCCACAATAGTTATATCTGGTTTCAAATAAATGTATCTTAAGTTTGTCCTGGAGTGAAATAATTTTTCTTAAATGTGTGTAAATGACTTTAGGACATAACTTTACAAAATCTTGTTTTAAATATGTTTATCTTCTTTTACTATAATGACCATCCAGTGTCTCCATCCATCCATCATCTTCTACCAAACTACCTCAACTAGCGGCTTTACTCTGAGTCTCTGCTGAGTAGATGATCATCTCACCCTGTCTCTAAGGACAAATCCAGAAAACTACCATATTTTAGAACGCCTGCTTGTATGTTATTCTTTTGGTCACTAACCAGAGTTGGCCGCTTCAGCTGTTAAGATTTAATTCAGGCAGTAAAATTGACTAAAACAAATTTTAAACTCCTCATACTTTCTTCTAAACAATAATAAAAAGCTGTAGGTGTAAACTAGTTGTGGTCCAGTACGATGGCGCTTAAAAGTTTGTGAACCCTTTTGAATTTTCCATATTTCTGCATAAATATGACCTAAAACATAATCAGACATTTGCACAAGTCACAAAAGTAGATATTTAAACAAACAAGACAAAATGTTATACTTAGTCATTTATTTATTGAGGGAAATGATCCAGTATTGCATATTTGTGAGTGGCAAAAGTATGTGAACCTTTGCTTTCAGGATCTGGTGACAGGGCCTTCTCTGTAGCAGGACCAAGACTTTGGAATGAGTTACCTCTGCTTGTCAGACTGGACCCCTCCTTCTCAGTTTTCAAATCTCGTTTAAAAACTCATTACTATTCAGTAGCTTTCAACACCAGAGGATCTGTGTTTTGAACCTGTACGCTCCACACTGGTTTGTCGTCATATTTATTATGTGCATTGTTTTTATGTCCATATTTTTGATTTACTTCATTTTGTATATTGCTTCATGTGTTGTCTGTTGTTCTGTCTGTACAGCACTTTGGTTGGCCTTGTAGCTGTTTTAAGTGCTCTTTAAATAAAATGGTATGGTGTGACCACCCTGTGCAACAATAACTGCAACTAAATGTTTTTGTAATGGGTTGTGGTAGCTTAGTGGTCTGTGCCATGGTTGTAATTCTGAGGTGGTGAGTTTGAGCCCAGGTTGCATCAGGAAGGACATGTAAAACAAATGATGTAAAACAATTGCCAAATATCACTTAGAAATCATGGAGGGGTCTGAAATCTTCATCTTAGGTGCATGTCCACTGTGAGACACATAATTAAAAAAAAAAAATCCAGAAATCACAATGTATGATTTTTTAAAAATAATTTATTTGTGTGTTACTGCTGCAAATAAGTATTTGAACACCTGCCAATCAGCAACAATTCTGGCCCTCAAAGACCTGTTAGTCCGCCTCTAAAAAGTCCACCTCCACTCCACTTATTATTCTAAATTAGAAGCACCTGTTTGAGGTCATTAGCTGAATAAAGACACCTGTCCACCCCACACAATCAGTAAGACTCAACATGGCTAAGACCAAAGAGCTGTCCAAAGACACCAGAGACAAAATTGTAGACCTCCACAAGGCTGGAAAGGGCTACGCTACAGGAGAATTGCCAAGCAGCTTGGTGAAAAAAGATCAATTGTTGGAGCAATTATTAGAAAATGGAAGAAGCTAAACATGACTGTGAGTGGCCCTCATACTGGGGCTTCATGCAAGATCTCACCTCGTGGTGTATCAGTGATCCTAAGAAAGGTGAGGAATCAGCCCAGAACTACACGGGAGGAGCTGGTCCATGACCTGAAGAGAGCTGGCACCACTGTTTCCATGGTTACTGTGGATACACTAAGACATCCTAGTTTAAAATCATGAATGGCACGGAAGGTTCCCCTGCTTAAATCAACACACGTCCAGGCCCTTCTTAAGTTTACCCATGACCATTTGGATGATCCAGAGGTGTCACGGGAGAAAGTTCTGTGGTCAGATGAGACCAAAATAGAAATTGTTGGTCTTGATTCCACTCGCCGTGTTTGGAGGACGAAGAATGATGAGTACCATCTCAAAAACACCATCCCTACTGTGAAGCATGAGTGTGGAAGCATCATGCTTTGGGGGTGTTTTTCTGCATATGGGACAGAACGACTGTACTGTATTAAGGAGAGGATGACCGGGGCCATGGATTGTGAGATTTTGGGGAACAACCTCCTTCCTCAGTTAGTGCATTGAAGATGGGTCGTGGCTGGGTCTTCCAACATGACAATGACCTGAAGCACACAGCCAGGAGAACCAAGGAGTGGCTTCGTAAGAAACATATCAAGGTTCTGGAGAGGCTTAGCCAGGCTCCAGACCTAAACTCTATAGAAAATCTTTGGCGGAAACTCAAACTCTGTGTTTCTCAGCGACAGCCCAGAAACCTGGCTGATCTAGAGAAGATCTGAATGGGACAAAATCCTGCTGCAGTGTGTGCAAACCTGGTGAAAACTACAGGAAACGTTTGACCTCTGTAATTGCGAACAAAGGCTACTGTACCAAATATTAACATTGATTTTCACAGGTGTTCAAATACTTATTTGCAGCAGTAACACAAATTAAATTATTTAAAAAAATCATGCATTGTGATTTCCGGATTATTATTATTTTTTTTAGATTGTCTCTCACAGTGGACATGCACCTAAGATGAAAATTTCAGACCCCTCCATGATTTCTAAGTGGGAGAACTTGCAAAGTTGCAGGGTGTTCAAATACTTATTTTCCTCACTGTATATATAAATACTACGTGGCTGTATCATGCATGTCACTAATTTACCATCATAATTCAATTAATCTCAATAGTACTCACTATCTGTGTAATAACCTGTCACACAATCTGTGTATAATAGGTTTGTTATGCGCAATATATTTTGTATATCGTGTGCATTTAAGCTACCTGTGAAATACTTATTTATACAAATTAATCCTATTTGCATTGCTATATTCTACCATGTTGTTGTTTACATTAGTGAATTTCTTTTGAACCTTGTAAATATATTTCTTTATCAATTTTTGGTGCTTTATTTTATGCCCTTATTACATGCTTTAGTATTTCTTTTGTTTGTTTGTTTGTTTTTAGCGAGTCAAATCGGTTCTTCTCATCCTGAACATTTCATTGCACTGTTGAATTTGTGTTAACCTGCACATGAGAAATAAACAACTTAACCTAATATATGTATGTTGAAATCAGGTCTCTCTTGTAAATGAGTCCGCAAGGTTCAGTGGGATTAACCTGTCTAAATAAA